TTAAACAAAGTGTCTTTCCATTATGCCACAGTCCCCCTGATCTTTTTCATGAACATAAATGAGTTGTTAACCAAATTATTTAGTTATTATTTAAAGACTGCAACTCACCTAACTGCAATAAACTTTGTCCAGGTGAATGTTTCCGTACTCTCATATAAATAGAAACAACCTCAAATAATTTTAATTTTTCAAAGGTATTCACTGAACATAGGAGGTATTCTATCTCTGTCCTCCAACGGTCATCAATATCATATAACTCTGCTTTATAGTACTGTAATAGCTTTTGACTTCTTAGCTCCGAGACGAACTATGAGAGCTTTTACAGTCTTAGCTCTTGTGATGTATTGACTATGTGAGCTTTCACCATCTTGGCTCCGAGACCTATAGCCATTGAACTTTTTTTTGGTACCATTGTTGTTTTGCTTTTGCCGTGACTTTATAATAAAACAATAAACTTACAAGTCTTCTTAATACAAACACTTTGAGTAATTGTGTTATAGGAAACAAAGTTTGGAAGGCTATTTCCTCTTCACTTTCCAAATTGAATATATCTTTAAGTGAAGAAAAATGGGTAAATTATAAGAATTACAACTAAACCGGAAAACACCTAATATCTAGGTCAGTATGTCAGTTGTACAGTTGATTATTGAGCATCAATCACCACTTAACTTATTAAAAGCAGACAAAATTAGCTTTCCTTGAACAAGAAGAATTTCTTCTTACAGTTTGAAATGCATTTACTGTTTGAAATCTTGTTGATGATAACACAAATGTTACACCACTATACTCTATTGTTAAATATCTTGATAAAGATTCCAAATCTGAAAAAGCAAGTAATACAGCTGTTTTATTACTACATGTTGCGCCATCATACTCAACAAAAAACTTTTTTAAATGCTTCGCTGCGTAAAAACAGGAAGGACTGCGAACCAGCTAATATTGACCATTTTATCTTAAATGCTGCAAGATGAACCAGTTCAGTAGAAAAACGGCCGCTTCTGGGAGATGTTTCCGTTGAGTAGGGTTTCTTATCTGAGCTAAAACTTGCCATAAGTTGTTGCACAGAATAGTCTACATGAAAAGGGAAGTATGTATTTCTTTGTAAACCAATACACATAATTCTTTGTGCTGTGATCTTATGAAATAATCAGGAATGGCCTATTCTACGGTCATTAGTTTCCCACAATTCCTAGAGCGCAAGCGCATTTGAAGTTGATAACTAGTCAGCCCGTGGGCTGGCTAATCATTAGCCAATTTTAATAGAATATTTTGCTTTGCATTTATTCTTAAAATACTTGTAAGAATTGCTTTGCATTAATTTTTAAAATCTATAATTTGTTTGTCATCATTTCGATTTCATTTAGGCAAAATGATGTAATTCATCATAGTAACATTTTAAACTATTTTGCAATTAGTTCCTTCTCCGTAAGTCTTGGAAACAATGTTGCGCAACATGCATCCAGACTTTCAAACATATGTCAGAGAAATTCTTTATCATTATTGGGTCCTTCCCAAGATCAGAATAACTCCTTCCAACCGAATAATATTACCCGAATCTCTTCTAACTCTATGCCTTATACAATTCAAATTAAAAGAAAGAAAATTTATATATATATCTATGAATGGTACCTTCCATCAAACAATCATATCAAAGCCAGAGTTACAACAGCTTTGCTGTAAGCATATGAATGTTGTGTGTGGAAAGTTGCCTGAATGATACAGCGTATCTCCAAGACTATCTCCAAGGTTGACGAAATCAGCAACCCCAAAACATTCGAAATCACCAAGCGCAATAGTGATAAATACTGGTCCTAAGAAATCATTACTCCTTACATTGTCTTAGGTAATTATATTCTATATTGTCATTGATTGGAGAAAAATCCTTGGTCTTCTTCTTGTTTTTTTTTTTTTTACGTTTTTTTACGAAAAATATAGGTTTGCATAGGATATACGAACCAATGTCCTACATATATCCTATGATGCAACCAACATAAAAGTACGGTTTGGGAAAAAAAAAAGAATGTGTTAATCCGTGAAAGCGAAATTTTTTTTGGTGCTAAAGTAACTTTTTTTTTTAATTTCAAAACAGCAACTAATGACATCATATGATGTACTCATGGCAGCATATAACCAGGGAAAGTCTCACTGGATTCTTGTGGAAAGTTGAAATTTTTTTTTGATGTTATGATGAAAAATCTTGTTTAGATTTGCAAGAGACAGAGATGGGGGACGTAAGAAAAGTGAAAAAAAAAGGTCATGACTGATGAGCAAAGTGGGACAGAAGAGCAGAACTAGCCTGCAATTATTTAGAATGTTCAAATTTATGTGTTCTAAAATACCAATGCAACTTTCTATACTTGAAATTATTTCTTCAGAAAAAACATCTGTATAAATTTTAGTCCGGCTTCAAATATTTACTGTTTATTTCTTCAGCGGTACAATATTTGGCCAAACGTCAACATGTACGTTGAGAAAATGTATCATTTTATGAACATTCAACAAACCGTGTTGTACCAACGTTGGGCCAATGTAATTATTATGTTTTGAACGGAAGTCAAGCATTGAACCACCGTAACCATAAAATCACTTGACATTAGTATACGGAAATAACGTTGCCCAAACGTTGTATAACCAATGATTGTCCAACATGTTGAGCCAATGTCGCGCCGATGAGGAAAAGCTTTTTTGTCCCCTCGCGCAACTAGTTGCGGAGGGGATATAGCATCGCTACTGTGCGTATGTGTGTGTGTTAGTGTGTCCGTTACAGCTTGTGGGCAAGATTTAAAGAGAACCTTTGCACCATCATTTCTCAGTCCTCACATACTTATGTGGCATTATAAAAGGACGAACCCTATTCATTTTCCAAGTTAATCGGTGATATAGTTCTTAAAATATCGCGTTTATACTGCCTTCAAACCCTGCAATTTTATGTACGAGTTGACAATACTCACTTCCGGTAAATTTAACAGGTTAAAATCCGGGTCGTTTCGATAGAGCCGCTTCGGTAAGTTCTTCTTTGTATTCGCGTTTTGTCATATTATTGCGTATCTTGAGAAAAGTTTGTATGAATTAAAAGTGTCATCTCTGTCACTGAGTAACTGAAATAATTTGATGAACGTCGCGGTTTCAATACCAAATCACTTCACGTGTGTGTTTACAATTGAGGCGCACATAATTCTTGAAAGCTATAAATATAAAGTTTCATTGACATCTCGACACAGGTATATTGACATTTTTCACTACATTACTTCCGTGCGTATTTTCAGATTTGATGCATATTGCATGCTACTCAGGTAGGTAAATCAATGAAATTTACAGCATACGTGATGTTTCTGCTAGGAATAAGGGAAACTGCCCAATCACGTATGCTTGTTATGACACCCCCCCCCCCCCCCCGATGATATCCACCTTGACTTATGTTAAAATGTAATTAGTGTTGCATACATTTTAATTTCTTTACCTTATTTTAAACTTTATATATACAGTATAGTAATACTGGGTACCCTTGATTACTAGGCCTAGATGATTGTATCTTGTTTTACGTCCCTATCGAGAATTTTTCTCTCGTATGGAGACATTGCCATTACCGGTGAAGTTCCTGGCGCGAGGGGATGCCCCGTTTAGCGGTGCTCTTGTTAAGGACATTGGACCATGGAAAATCTCTATCATTGGGTAGACATTAGCAATATATTTGGATCAACGTTGGCCCCACGTAGTATTGCTATTCCAGATACGATTACAAGAGGCCCATGGGCCACATAACTCGCCCGAGCACATTGGCTCGGAAAAAACACAAGTCAGCTCAGTATTAAAAAGCTGGTTACATCATTGTCTTTGTTGTAAGGCTCATTATTTAAATTGTATTATAGGGGAACTGGGAATTAATTCTTAAACCCATAGATCCCTTTTTATGGAGAATATTCTTCAAAATCATGTGCCAGTTTTAAAAAAAAAATAATATTCCAAGCAACCAGATGAATTTTAATTACCTTATCTATATTGGATTATGTAACTTCATAAAATCCTTAAAAACAAAGATACATAGCGGGTTCCAGTAAATATTCTACCAAGCTGCTTTTACTCCTCACTAAAATATTAAAAGTAGTGAAGGAGAATCTTTAGGAGTATTGTACAACAATAAATTGGAGAAGTGGTGTGAATCAGATGTGGATACTTAAAAATCCCAAGGAACTTTTGGGAAGATTGAAATCTTTTTGAAAATTTTACCAAATCAACTACATAAAAATTTCCTTATCAACTTTATATTCAACAATTCCCCACGACAAACTAAAGTCCAGACTTTTAATATCCTTGTCAGCTACTTTGCAATAAAAATGGAACTCGTAAATTTACTTATCTTGGTCATTTTAAAAATTACTTTCTTAAAAAGCATTCTGATTGTACACAATTGTACTCTGAAATTGATATTAAAAAGATGCTTGAGTTTCTTATTGACAATAACTAGGTCTTCCAACAATTCCAATTGGAATACCAATGGGTACCTAATGCGCCCCGTTATTAGCGGACATATTTTTGTATACGTATGAAGCAGAATTTGTTAAAATCCCAAACGTGAAAAGAAGAAAGCACTTGCTGTGGCCTTTAACATGACATTTAGATATATCGGCGACGTATTGTCAGTTAACAATGGTCATTTCCAATCTTACGGGAAAAGAGTACCAATTAATTTTCCTGCTGATTAAGTATGTGCAAAAAGTTTCTCCATCCCCCTGTCTAATGTAACTTGGAGATGTAGCAGGTGCCCCCATCTTCTTTGTTTACAATTAATTGAGACCAGAGAAAATCCCTTATTTTGATAGCTTATAGTTCAGACTCTGTAGCCTTAAACAGCTCTGTCTATTTGCCAAAATACTGAAATTTAAAACTAGAAAAGGAAAATTCAAAACTGCAAAGATTCCAAAAAGGGTATCAAGTATGGATTCAAACCTAAAATGTGCCTCACAATAAGGGGGTGGAAAGTAACAGAATGGAAAGTTTACCTGCAACGTACAGCAGATTGTCTGAGGACATGCATCGGATGGTGTCAGAGACTCCGTCAGCTGCAGAAAGAAGGGAAATGCTTGTGCGGCCTAGGTGCCACCGCATACTTAGGCCAAGGAAGTCTTCAGGATGGCCTGAATGAGAATGAGTGTGCTGTCTCTTTATTATATACAGCCAGTTAACACATGGTGAACATGGTGGAAAGCTACAAAGACATAATTACAATATTGTAAACAAATGACTCGAATTAAAGACTGGACACAATAATACTGATTTAAACCACATCTTTGTTCATTTATAAATATGACAGAGTGAGATATAGAGCGATACTGAACTTGTAGAAATTCATATAATGACTATAATGGACATCCATAGAAAATTTTTCCCGCGAAACTAAACAATTACAGTAAAAGTTAATTTACAGCAAAATATTACAAACTGCAAGGTGTACATTTAGGAAACAGTAATTCTATGCCTAAAAATACATATGCAAATAAATTTACTTACACTGTGAGCATGTGAAGTAGACAAAACTATGATAAAAGAGGGAACAAATCTTGCCAGCAACCTGGGCGGAAATACTAAAGTAAACGTACAGTAAACAGAAAGAACCAACACAGGTATAAAAATTCCGGAATACTACCGGACTGAAAAGCCAGCACACTCCTCGTCTGATATTGCATGTTACAACAAAATATCACTAATTAACAAATACAAAAAAATACCTTTTCAAAATGCATGTAACCAAACATATTCAGTTTCTTTGGAATAACATACATGAAACCGTTTAAAAATTTTATCGCAACATCATTTACTTAACATGGCACCAACACAACAAGTTCATTCACTGGACGTACAGAAGTTCTTGGTACTTTGTCTATGATAGCACGAACCAAAACTTTTCGTACGAGTCAATCGTCGCTTTGTACAGTCTTAACGACTAGTCCAATTGGCCAACTTATTCGGCAGAGTTCTTTGTTGCGAATAAGTACAACGTCACCTGCAGCTACATTTCGCTTGGGGAGATTCTATTTCCGACGGCGTTGCAGTTCATTAAGGTATTCAACTTTCCAACGCTTCCAGAACACTGAAGCCAGATGTTGAACTCTTTTCCACTGTTTACATAAGAGGTCTTTCTGATCAACTTCAGAGTTCACATGGGTTGTATCAATCACGTCCGACTTTTGGGTGAGTAAAGTTGAAGGTGTCAAAATATGTGGATTTCCTGGATCTTTTGATATGGGTATTAGTGGGCGCGAGTTGATAATAGAGCATGCCTCTGCTAAAAAAGTTGTAAGCACGTCATGTGTCAAACTGTGAGATCCATATTCCAACAACATGGAATGAAGAATCCGTCTAGTAGTCCCAATCATCCTCTCCCACACTCCACCCATGTGTGAGGAGTGTGGGGGGTTGAAGATCCATGTAGTCCCTTGTTTGGTAAGATAGTCATGTATAGGTCCATCTTCTACGTTGATTGTGTTGATCTTCAATTCATTGACTGCACCCACAAAATTTGTCCCTCTGTCAGAACGGATGATTTTAACACAGCCTCGAATAGCGACAAATCGTCTGAATGCATTTATGAATGCGGATGTTGTCATATCCTCCAGAACTTCAATATGGACTGCTCTAGTTGCTAGGCATGTGAAGAGGGCTGCCCACCTCTCGTTATTGGCCGATCCACCTCTAGTTTTTCTTGTTATGATCTCCCAGGGACCAAAGACATCTACTCCAATGAAGGAGAATGGTGGGTATCCAGGGAGAATGCGCTCTGAAGGTAAGTCTGACATTGTTTGGTGGTCAAGAGGTTTCCGTAGCCTTCTGCACGTAACACAATTGTACATCAGGGAAGTTAAAAGTCTCTTTCCACCAACTATCCAGTAGCCCGATGATCTAATGCGTCCCTCAGAAATATGCCGACCCTGATGCTTTACCTCCTGATGACACTTCCGAGTTATCAAGGTTGCAATATGATGCTTGGCTGGTAAGATTACTGGGTTTTTGAACATCGCATCGACGTGTGAATGTTTCAAGCGTCCCCCTACACGTAATAGCCCATCTGCATCAAGATACGGGTCAAGTGTGAAAATAGGGCTGCTTTTCTTCAAAGGTTTGGAAGATCTCAGACAGTTAATCTCTTCCTGATAAACACTCCTCTGCACATCTTTGATCACAATTCGCTCAGTGTCAAGAAACAAATCAACATCATTCATCTTATGGAAACTGGCCGACTTCGCACTCCGACGTTGTTGAATAAACCGGCGTATGCAAACCAAAGCCAAAATTAACCTTTTCCAACTGGAAAATCTAGAGAATCTGCCATTGTCAAGTCCAAAGGAGACCTTCTGAGCGATTTCTAACTTGTTACTTCTAACTTCTTTGTCAACATCGGGGTTGATGAGAGGGTAAGTAGTGTCTACAAGTGTTGCATGTTCTTCTGCTGAGATACATACTGTTTGAGGTCCCCGGAGCCAAGTACTGTTCTGCATGTCACCTGGATGGATTCCCCTTGTGCTGACATCAGCAGGATTTGCTTCACTGCGTACGTAGAACCACTGTGTTGGTTTACTGAAACTTCTAATGTGTGCGACGCGATTAGCAACATATGTGAAGAAACGCTTGGTTTCGTTATTGATATAGCCTAACACTACACGACTGTCACTGAAATAGTTTATAGTGTCTAATTTCAATCCTAAGTGTTCCACCACAATCTGTGCAACTTCCACGGCGAGGACAGCTGCACAAAGCTCCAGCCTCGGTATAGTATGGCCACTCAGTGGAGAAACTTTTGCCTTGCCAAGCAGGAATCCTATGGAAGAGGAACCATCAGCATAAGTTGCTTTGAGATAACAGACTGCTGCGATAGCAAGTTCTGAGGCATCACAGTAAACCAAAAGGTCTTTAGAAACAGCTTCATTGAGGTTAGGTACTATGACACGGGGTATTTGCAATTTCTCTAAGACAGGAAGTGCCGATTTCCATGTCTCCCACTCTTCAACTAACTGAGCTGGTAGTTGGTCATCCCAGTCTAAAGTAGATGCTACGATTTTTCTCAAGATGATCTTCCCACTAATGGTAACTAGAGATAAAAATCCTAATGGGTCATATAGACTGTTGACTGAGGAAAGAATTCCTCTCCGAGTAGATGGTTTGCTCTCATCTGATATACTGAACCTGAAGGTATCTGTCTTCAAGTCCCATAAGAGGCCAAGGCTACGCTGGGTAGGTGTGTCCTTTTCAAAATCTAACTCCACTAGGTTCTTTGCCAAGTCTTGAGAGTCAAAAGCATCCATTACTGTCTGGTTATTCGATGCAAACTTATGGAGTCTTAGATTTAGATTTCCATGCACTTTCATTGCGTCTTGTGTTTTACGGATCAAATCAATAGCTTCTTGTTCCGTAGGACATGACTTCAAACCATCGTCAACGTAAAAATCATTGACGATAAACTCTTTTACCTCTGGTCCATGGGTGTTTGCAGAAAGCTCCCCTATGCGTTGAAGTCCATACATTGCTATTGATGGCGAAGGGCGATTTCCGAACACGTGTACTCTCATCCTGTAAGTTGCAAGTGGATATTCTAATTTGTTGTCTTTGTGCCACAGGAATCGGAGGTAATCACGATGTTCTTCTTCTACCAGGAAGGAGTGGAACATCTGCTGGACATCAGCGACAACAGCTACCATGTGTTTCCTAAAGCGAATTAGGATTCCCAACAGATTGTTGATGAGATCAGGACCCTGCAGAAGCTGGTCATTCAAGGAGACTCCTTCATACTTTGCTGATGCATCAAAGACTCCTCGTATCTGATCAGGTTTGCGTGGATGATACACTCCAAAAAGAGGGAGGTACCAGCGTTTTTTATTATGGGGTAAGTATGGAGCTAATTCTGCATGTTTATTGTCCAATATCTTCTGCATAAATGCTAGGAAGTGGCCTTTCTTTACTTCATTATGATGTAAGGAAGCATCCAAAGACTTAGCACGCCGGAGAGCCATTTGATAATTGTCTGGAATAGGTTCACGTGGTGAACGGAATGGCAAAGGTGCTGTCCATTTTCCCTCTGAGTTCAGGTGAAATTCTTTATCCATAATGTTCAAGAATTTCTAATCTTCTATGGAAAGTACTGGTTTGTTGTCTTCTCTTGTAGTCTCAAAAATGTTTAATTTGGTCACTTGTGTCTTGTAAGTGTTTACAAAATTATTACGGATGTTGACTGACTGATCACAAGGTTCCAAGGTTGTAGGCCTACCATTGTCACTGACAAAAGTCTTGTTTGAATTGTTTCGAGATAAAGGAATGTGTTGTCCTGACAGACAGACGTCTCCAATTATGGTCCATCCTAGCGGTGAGCGCTGGGCAAAAGGCGCACTTAGTGGTCCAGTTCTCTGGTCTATTGAGTGATGGGCCTCAGGAAGGTCTCTTCCTATGAGTAGTAGTATTTTCACAGATGAGTCCATAACATGTAGATGTTCAGCTATGTCCCGCATATGAGGGTAACAAAGTGCGCCTTCAGGGGTTGGAATCTCAGAATGATTCTCTGGAATGTTGTCACATTCAAGCACAGGAGATAGTTTCAGTTGAACATTCTGACTGTCATTGATTCCTTCCACAATCAAACCTTTGGCCATCCTTCCATAACTAACATTCTTGCCAGAGCAGGATTGCATAGAGTATTCAACTGGTGAGGAATTTATTCCTATAGAATCAAAGAGAAGACTTCTTCCTAATGTCTTATTACTTTGGTCGTCGAGCATGGCATAAGCAGTGATGAGGTTCTCTGGTTGTCCTTCTGGGTAAATACGAACAGGTACAATGCGGGCACAAGATCTTCCAGAAAAGCTTGGTTTGCCACAAATCTCTGTGCAGTTTGAGTTTACGGTGAGTCGACTCGAGCCAGATGACTCCTCGACATGCTTTTGTACAGGAGGGGTAGTCATGGTTGATTGTTGTCTGGGTCTCTGTGAATCAGCCAATGGGTGAAGTGCTGTACAATGAAAATTACTTTTACAAATGTCACAACAAATCTTGGACTGACACCTGTTGGCAAAGTGATCAGAGGTTTCACAGCATCTTAGACAAATGTTATGATTGCGTAAAAGTGTCTTTCTGTTTTCCAGGCTTTTAGATTGAAAGGCTCTACACTCATTGATAGAGTGTTTGGCTGCTTTGTGAATTAAGCAGCTTCTTGAATTTTCTGCAGTAATATTTGTCTTATGCGCAGACACAAACACAGGTTTGTTCTTTTTCACACCTCTATGTAAACAGCTGGTCTCTCTTGGAGTTTCATACATTAGTCCAGGGTCATTCCTTATGACACTCATCTCTCCTATGAACTTAACAAATTCAGAAAATGGTGGAAAGAGTACTGCGTGTTGCTTTTTGTAGTTAATCGCACGAGTGACCCATTTCTCCTGAATCTGCTTGGGTAGTTTCTGAATGATGAGCTTAACACCAAGTGAGGAATCAAGATAGGAAAATATGCTGCTGTACTCACTAAGATTTTTTACAGCTTCGATTTCTGTCAGCAAGTCATGTAGTCCTTAAAGTTTTTTACGGTCTGTAAGGTCAGGCAAATCCATGAGCCTAGTTTTCAATGAAGCCTCTACTAATTCTGCTGAACCAAAACGCTCATCCATACGGTTCCAAATGGTGTGTAAACACTGTAGTGGATTGCTCGCACATGAAGTTCTAGCACTCATCACTAACCTGTAGGCATCAGAGTCCTTATGAATACAGTTTGTTAAAAGAGAGATCTCCTCTAGAGGTGAACACTTGATGTCAGCAACCATGGTTCTGAATTGAGTCTTCCACACGATGTACCTGTCTGGTCTATCCTCGAATCGCTGCTGTTGAAAACTTTCTAAAAGAATATTTTTCTTGATGAGAAAGTTTGATGTTATTGTATCATGAACAGCGTTCACTGGATGTGTAAAAGTTGTATCCACCTGTCTCGTCTGCATGATAGGATGATGTGAGGTAGAATCAATCAAGGGTCGATTAACATTTTGATTGTTGATTCCCGGAGTAGAACTTTCCACTTCTCCTGGCATTACACGAGATAAAGGTATAAACGGTGTAGTCTGTGGTGAGAGTGGTTGTGTGGGTCTTGCAGGAGAATTTAGACCATCTAAATAATTAAGAGTTTTGTCAAAAGGACTCATTTCTTCTTTTGGTCGATTAACTGACTCTGCTGGATTCACTATGTCATCATCAAATTGTCTCTCAAGATAAGACGCTTCAGCATCAGCTGCTATTTTCTCTTGTTCCAAAATTTCCAGTTGTAAAGTTTCTGCAAACTGTTCTTTTTTAATTTCCGTCTCTTTTTTCACAAATTGTAGTTTTACTTTTTCAGACTCTGCTTTGGCTCTTTTGCTAGCAGCAAGGCTTGCATTTGATGTAGTCGAACGACTTGTCCTTGAAGACCTGTGGGATTGACTTTCAGCAGACTCTCTTTTCAAGTGAATTTTTTCCATCAAACTGTTGAATTGTTTTTTAAGATCTGTCATGACAGGCCAGTAATTCTCCAGTTCTTGTGTTGCTTCAGGGTCTCGAGAACGTGAAAGAAAGTCAAGATAGTTGTTTGCACAAGTGTCGTAACGCTGAAATGTGCTTTGTAACGTTCCTTCAGCATTTTCCAAAAGACTGATAGATTTCGGTAATGGTTCAGAGTTGACGATGCATTCATTAAGGATTTTGCTTGCTGATTGCAGTTTTCTGTAAAGAATGTCTTTTTGATTCTTAAAATATTCTTCTCCTTTTTCAGTTAGTTTTGCCTCACGGGGCTCCTTACCCTCACTACCGTCTGTGGGTAACAGTGCGTTGTGAGCTGTGGACATGGTATACAGTCTTTCCACTGTGCTGTCTCTTTATTATATACAGCCAGTTAACATATGGTGAACATGGTGGAAAGCTACAAAGACATAATTACAATATTGTAAACAAATGACTAGAATTAAAGGCTGGACACAATAATACTGATTTAAACCACATCTTTGTTCATTTATAAATATGACAGAGTGAGATATAGAGCGATACTGAACTTGTAGAAATTCATATAATGACTATAATGGACATCCATAGAAAATTTTTCCCGCGAAACTAAACAATTACAGTAAAAGTTAATTTACAGCAAAATATTACAAACTGCAAGGTGTACATTTAGGAAACAGTAATTCTAAGCCTAAAAATACATATGCAAATAAATTTACTTACACTGTGAGCATGTGAAGTAGACAAAACTATGATAAAAGAGGGAACAAATCTTGCCAGCAACCTGGGCGGAAATACTAAAGTAAACGTACAGTAAACAGAAAGAACCAACACAGGTATAAAAATTCCGGAATACTACCGGACTGAAAAGCCAGCACAATGAGTCATAACAGTAAGTCAAATTTTGTATAAATTAATGACAATAAATCATTTATTCTCAAAATATTCTTACAAATTAATTATTAATTATCTGTTGCATGGCTAAATATATAAACAAAATGACCTGATGAGGGTGGGGTACATATTACACACTATTTCATGTAAATACATGCAGGGTCAAATTTAATACATGCAATTAAAAGCCTTATTTGTATTTCAGAACAAATCAAAAGCATTAATTCCATCAGAAAAATTTACACAATGTTAACATTTTCTGTGTCTTGTCAGATAGTCTAAGGACCCCACATGCCATCCCTGTATAGTGTGATGGCATGTACAATTACCTCCTGTACTCAGGTATTTCAGCCGTCGACACAGACTAGGTACTCATTCGCTGAAAATGTCACATCAAAACATCTTATAGTTTAAATGGATACAAAAAAAGGTCCAAACATGGCCACTTACTGTAGGAGGGCACTGCTAACCACCATTGTAGTCCCAGGGTGTGTGGGGCAAACCTACCCATGCAGCATACCATAGGGGATGAGTTCACGCGGGCTAGGGAGGGGATGGCAGAACTCCTCTGCAAAGAGGTACCCACTGACCCGGACAGCTCCGCTGGTCGAGCTGCAGATTCCCTTTATAAGAACAGTCTGCTGCAAAATAAACCAGTTCATTATATTGATACTTGTCTGAGACTATTAGAAAGTCAATTAAAAAAGATCAAAAACTCTTAGAGGTCATGCCAAAAAGAACATAGACAGAAAAAAAACAACTATTGCATAACTTTGCCCTCGATGCTGTTAACAGATGCACGGCAGAGATCAACCAAGCCCAAGCAGTACATGCCGGAGATGCAGATAAAATGAAAAGATCTCTTATGCCAAACATGCAATAGTGAAGTTTTGCAAGCATTATGCAGAAAACACTCTCTGGTGTGCAAAGGGAGAGTTAGTAACAATTCGGTTAGCAAGAGTTCTTATTTAGCTCAAAATTTTACAATACCATCTTCTGCGTCGCCCGTGTGGCGCACTGGTTAGAGCGTTCGCTCTAGAGTCGTGGAGTAAGGAGTTGATCCTTTCGTCGCGGGTTCGACTCCAACTGTGGGACGTGGAGACCGGTCCTTCGGATGAGATCGTATAAACTGAGGTCCCGTGTCGCAATGGGTGTTGGCACGAAAAAGATCCCTCACTGCTCAATGGCCCTGAGTGTCGAGTATAGGTCAAAATTTGTAGCCCTCCACCGGCAAGTGGTGGTGTCTCCAAATGAGCGAAAACTTCTCGAGAGGGACGTTAAACAAACCATCTTCTGCCGAGAAGGAAGCAAGGTTGCATGCCTGCATGTCAAAGAGGTTGTCTCCATCTGTGCTGGACAGAACGATCAAAAACAGCAATTCACAAAAGGTCGAAAGCTTCAACAGAACTGCGACGATCCCTGCCTCGTAATGTTACTTTCACGAGAAACTTTGCTGGTCGGGCGCACAGTGCTGCTCGACTCTAACAATCATGGTCCGGGCAGCTCCTTCCGAGGTCTCTGTGCAGGGGTTGGTGCCTCCATTTCAGATTTCTGAAAATGTCAAATAAGAGAGAGAGACAAAATATGAAGCTGCATTTTGAAGTTGGGGTCCCTTGATTTATATGAATATCAAAAGGAAATCAGTGACAGGTGCACACTTTAACGCTTTCGTAAACAGGTGCACACTTTAACGCTTTCGTAAACACTAAGCACAAGTTTGTTCAGAGTCGAGTTTGAAATATAATATCCTTTAAGTGACGGAGTTGAAGAATCTGTATTTGTTTTATTTGTTATAATTTATTTTTGATGTGACATGATTGTATTTTGGTAATTGTTGTATTTTTGTTTGGTGTTTACAAACTATTTATCTCGGATTCAATTGTCTAATTTTAATCTATGACACGATTGTCTAAATTTACAGCTAATCGGCGTGGTTTCTCCAACTCACGGGACCATTGTGGTT